CAGGACACAGGCAGGAAATGGATAATGTACTCAGAGGGCTTAAGTGAAGCAAGTTTTATAGAAGACTGTTTGGAGTACAATCATTTGTATGAACATGAGCAAGGGACTGGAGTGTTAGAAACCAACCAATCAGAAATGATTAGTTCCAAAACCTGGAGAGGGAGGTTGAAGTATCAGGGTTGCACAGGAGAAGTCCTGGGCAGAAGGCTTATGTGTGGGGGGAAGCTAAACCACTGCCTATCAGAAAGGAGGCAACATGCAGGATAGGAGTTAGCAGCAATGCCTTTCTTCCCCTTTTTGGGTTTCTACCAGTGTCAGCCATCCACAGATGCCCACCAGAAGGCAAAGCACATAAAAGAGGCAGAGGTGTTAAAGAGATATAGAAGGGTAAGTGGAGGATGAAAGACACTTGACTGGAATTTTAAAAGGCATTGATAATAATCTCCAGTCAGTAATCTATGGTATGCTGACTGACTCAGTTAAGGGTTAGTACATGCAATGACAGTTAAGTACTGCAAGCAGCTGATTTTATATGTTGTTGAGAATCTAAACCAGGTTAAGCATTCAAGTCAGAAAAGATGGAAGATAAGAAACATGACAGGTAAGATTTCATGTACCCTTTCTAGGTTGAAGCAGAATAGTGGTGATCAAATCTATTTATTCTACTAAATGATGTGTGAGATTTCATTCGACAGTGGGCTTATATAAAGGCATGATCCAAGAACATCAGTTAAGTTTCCTTGCTTTATCAGTAGAGTAAGCATTGCTAGGAAGGAAAGTCTAGTTTTATGTCCCAGTTTTTTCATCTGTAAAATGGAGGTAAAAAATGTATATCCTGGAAGAACTGTAGTGTTGAGAAGATCAAATAAGAAAATGGATTTGGTTTTCTTTTGAAAAGCTTAACAAGCTCTACAAATGTCAGGCCCTATCACTTCTGGATGCTATCTCACAAAGCTGGTCCCTGGGTATGCGCTTGCCAATCATCACGTCCTGTCTTTTGGACTATCTTCGCTTAACACATGGAGCACTTCACTCAACTCCAACTGAAACATCACACACAAAGGAAAGATAAGCGGTGAGGAAATCCAAATGTGTTGGCAATACCACTGCATGTTAAAATGAAAGAACAAGATTCACGTTGAACTTCGTTTCTGCCATGCATACCTTCTCTACCATAGGTTCTATTAACTTCAAAGGGAGCTCCATGCATGTAAATGATTATATTTATTGGATGCGCCAACTCCTTCTTGTCCTCCGGGCACAATTAGAAATATCATAGAAAATGAGTGTTAGAGACTTGGATCCATATTTGATATTCTATGGGAAATTTCCCATCGTTGCAGATGTTAAAAATCCTGTGCAACAGTCCAGCTATGAATTTGTAGTATTCACCATTTTATATCCTTGGAGTTACTTTTTCCCTGTGGTTTTAGAATGATCTTCTTACAATAAAGGAAACGTACTCTCTTTATGTCTGCTTAGAGTGGTGATGGGCTCTTTGCTGATACACAAGTCGGTCTAATAATACAAATTTAGACTACACAGGCCCTGTCTGGAGGAACTGTTAGTGCCTCCCTAAGATTAGCTCATAAACACAGCAACTACGATCTTGCTTTCATTTCACCCTGGGAACTGCTATCAGACTCACTGCCGGGATCTAAATTCCGGAATGCTCAGTTTAATATTCCAGCCACTAGACTACACTATGATTTCAGGGTTCATTGTAAATTCGGGCATTATCGCTATCTTGTTACATAGTGACTTTTCTCTGGGAGGAATCTCTTGAATCAATGAAAACCCCTTGGTGTGTACAGAGCCCCGTGCCTTTGATAGTAATTTGTTGTTTATTCACCCTATGTTCGGGAGTCTTTCAAGTTATAATGGAAGTGTCTCCAAGACTGACTGTGACAAAGACCTCAATGTCCTCATTATGTTCTATCAGTAAATATAAAGATCCTATAAATGCTACAGACATCTGGCCTCAGCAAAACTGTGGGTATGTGTGTGTTTATAAATTCATCTAAGAGAACAAGTTAATATTCAACTGTACACTGCTTTAAAATGTCACATGGAGGGAAAAATGAGCCTTTCAAAATAAATATATTAAATTTCCATGAGAGAATATTATAATTGCATGATGAAAATACCTGTAGTGTAACATACCCACATATAATTGGTAGATTAAAAGATCCTCCCATAGTGCTTTGATAAGCAATTAGTTACAAAGATTCTTTCATGCCCACCTTGTACACCAAAAAAATAAAACTACATCAACTTAATTTAGGTCCATCTTGAATTGTTTGGAATAAATAAATAAGAAGAGGTTAACATTAGTAAATATTATAAAGCAAAATAATCTGAAGTCTACATAGCAATCAAATTTCTAGTGAAAATATGTGTAAGTGGGTTTATTTTGAAAGGAAAAGTCCTACTCTTAGTGTCATAACCAATTAAATTCTCCAGGTAATGACCCCATTTGCATAGTGAGCAGAACTCACGAGTGGGAATTTTAATGGGTACACTACCTGAGTGCAGTAATTGAGAACGACACAACTTGAACTAGTTTTGTGCTTACCTCACTGAAAATTCTACTCAGATTATTTTGAATGTCAAGCTACAAGTCAAATTCCAAGATGATGGATTTGTTCTTTTTTAGGCACCAAGTTTGAATAAAAGAAATGCATTGCATATCTTCGCTTTAACTAATCTGTGCTTCTGTTTCTCCCCATTGCTTCATTTTCTTCAGTGGTTGGAATTTAATTTTATTCATTAATTTGTGAATAATTAGATAAAAAGAAATAATGTCCTCAGTAGCTAAATTGCTTTTGGATTGCAATTTAATGTACGTTTTTACAGAATATATACTATATAGTTAAACTCACATAACAGTTTACTAAGAGGTAATTGTGTAAATATGCCTAATTATTCTTTATGATGATCTAACAAAATTTAATGTAGTGAGCATTGTGGAATATTTCATTTATCCCGTATCCTGATGCTGATAAAACACACACTTTCCGTAGAGCTGAACAGAGATGACTTGTCACCTGAAAGTGTTACTTCTAAGATATTCTCTGTATCTCTCGGGCACTATTCATGTCCTTGAAAGAACTGTGCACTGTGATTGAGGGATCATATGACGGCCACATTAAACTATATAATAAAGGAGATTTTAAAACTCTAAGAGTCAGACGCGTGATGAACTGTGCTTTCCAGGTTTTGAGGTGACATTTGAAAACCTCTTTTGTTTCACTCTAAGATTGCTTCAGTACTGTTTGTAGGTTTTTGACACTACTCAGCCCCATCTGTAATTGGCATAGCATCCAGCAGACAGGCTCTGTACATCTTTACACTGCAACCTACCAAGTTAAGAAATGTATTGGTTCAATATAAAACAGCAGGCTGTTTTTAGACATAGTTACTAGTGCACAAGCTTTAATATGGCTTGGCTTCATCCTATAATGAGATCTTTTGGTTCCCTGCTCAACAGACTTTTATTCCTTTGGAAAAGGCTGTGAACTATGTCAAGTGGCTCGGATGCTTTTGTCCACCCTCTTTCTTGGCTTTGGAATGTAATTCCTTTGCATCAGACAGAACTTAAGAACTGTTGCGATTTTTCAAGCTCAACTTAGAATTTCTGTGTTTGAATTTGCTTTTCCCTGTTTTCTTAAAAGAATAATTCCTTTCTCAACTAAATTTCACTAAAGGGGCTGCATGCAAGTATATACCTAATTGCAGAGCTACACTTTTCTTTGTCTTCAACAGATGCATCTTTAGCTGTATGTGGCTAATGTGTCATAAAATGATTTCTTCATAGCCAGAAAAATGACCCGTGGTTTGTATTTATCAAATAGAGTAAGGGGAGCATCCAAGATATAAATAATGCACAAACAACAGAACTAGAAATGCGAGCTACTGTCCAACTGGGAGACATGGGGCTACTTATCTGGCAATTGGCTGGTTCTGAGATTTAGCTGTGGCCTTTGTGGAAAATATGGTGTCCCAATATGATGAGAACAGTTTGTGTGTGAGACAGGTCTTTGCCCTGAAGGATTCTGCTTTTTAGCTGGGCTATGGTCATGACTTTGACTGTCACCTCCAGATTAGCTCCTATTGTCACTAAAATTTGATCTTATAAGTAGTATTTTGAGACATCATCCTTTATTCCCTTCATTCCTTCCTTCTTTCCTTCCTCCCTCCCTCTCTTCCCCCTCCCTCCCTCCTTCTCTCTCTCTCTCTCTCTCTCTCTCTCTCTCTCTTTCTTTCTATGAGGGAGAGAGGCTGCATAAGTTTCCATGCATCATGTGCAACAGGTACCAAGGAAGGCCAGAAGAGGGTGTCAGATCTCCTGGAACTGGAGTTTAAAGGTTATAAGTATCCTAGTGTGCATGTTGGTAACCAAACCTAGATCCCTTTGAACATGGGTGCTCTGAAAGAGCAGGAAGTGCTCTTAGCATCACGCCACTTCTCCAGCCCCAGAGACATGAATTTCTTTTTTAAGTAAAGGGCACTGACATTGTTCACTGGGAATTTTGCAGTGGGACAATGCATGGTAAATTTAGTAACCAGTGACCATTTTGGCTAAACAAACTTCCATATTAGGGCTGTATTACAATGCCATTGTTCCCATAACTTTTTTCTATTTTTAACCAAGCCTCTAATAATAATCTTAAATAGTTAAGCATTAATGGAAACCTCTCTGAGGAGTTAAGAATGTTAACTTATATTTTTACACACTGAGAATATTCAAAAGAACACTAGTTTTATAACATAGGGCAGTGATAATTTGTGGATAAAATATCCCATATATCTCCCAGTTCATTTCTGGGAACAAACCTTGTGATCAACATAGTCAGGCTTGGAAAGAGGGACTAGGGACTGTTTTGAGAAGAAATATAAAAGGTAAAGAAATTCTTCAGGTTTTACACTATCATTGAAATCATTTAAATATAAAGGAACTAACATATTAATTATGTATAAAAGGATCTTAGAGCACAATAAAGAATTCATTTTTTTTAATTTTACAATATTCAGGATAATACAGCTCCAGTTTGAAAATATGCCACATTTAATAAGTGACAGAATGCCTAACTGTAAACTATAGCAATTAGTCTTGATGGCCATAGGATTCAACAAAACACTACATACCAAAATCCTAAAATATATTGAAACTGTTTTCACATTTGCCTATTTTTCTTTTGAATTATACAAGATGCCCTAAGGAATGGCATGCCTGGAGTAGAGAGCTGAAGAAAAGTCCAACATGTACAAGCATGGGAATTTAATTCTGGTATTCACCAGTGTTCTGTATTACAGATCAAAAAACAAAAAACAAATTTCAAATCACTAACATTTTCATTGCAAATCATTGCAGGGTATATTCAAGCATCAGACAAACACATCCGTTAAACAGTTTTACAGGGTAACAAGTCAAATACTCTAACAATCATTAGGAGGCTTATTTACAAACAGATGCTTTTCTTCATCCTATGACATAAGCACAAGATAATGCTGGGTATATGGGAATATTAAGGTTCCCATTATATTTGGCATCACAAATGAAGAAGGCAGCTGTAAATTAGCATCATGCTTAAACCAACGTCTTAAAGAGAATGCATGCATAAATTGCACTAGAAGGGAGATTCACTTGCCTTTCTTTTTCAATGAATATTTAAAAGAATAATTTAATTATAAGCTAGGCTTACTCTCAAAGGAAAAAATGGACATTCACATGGTTCATGTGAAAAAAACAAAAACAAAAACAAAAACAAAGCAAAACAAAACAAAATAAAAAACTCAGAACTCCTAAAGGTCTAGAGGTCTAGGTTGGCTAAAGGTTTCCTAAAAATGCATTGCTTTCACCTGGAACTGGAAAGAACCGCTAAACCAAATATACTCTCAAGAGCCTACAAGGAATTAGTCAATGTAACCAAAAGAAAAAAAAAATCATAGGAGGGTGTGCGTGAAACCAAATGCTCCCTTTCATATGAGCCGGCTCCATTACTATGTAGTTAGTCTCTTCACAGACATACTTCTATATACTTTTAGTGTCTTTATAACCTGACACAATGGCATAACTTAACACACAGTTGGAATACTGATACCTGGTGGTGGTGCTGGACATCTGAGCTCCCCCTTAGTGGATCCAAGATGCACATGCTTATAAAATACAAGACTGTGGCTATAAACCAAAAAAAAATAAATAGACTCCCCCTCCCAAACATCCCCATACAAAGAACCAAATCTTTCAAATATAAGTGAGCTTTGGAAAAAACCCAAATCAGAATACTGGGATTTCTTTTTTTTTTATCTTTAAAAAAATCCTAATTTAAATGAAAGTTGTTAAAAAGTGTTCTACATTTTTGGTAAAATATAGTTATGTTAACAAGGTATTATGTTTTCATTAAAATTTATAACACTTAAATTATGTGTGGGAAAGTGCATATTTGCATTAGTTCCGATTCTATAGTTTTAAGAAAGCTGTGTTGCTGAAGTGTTCAGTGCAGGCACATTCTTTTCACTTTCTGAGAACGTAGACAGTCCAGGCCACCGACATTAACCTTCTTCCTAAATTTAGGTAGCTCATTCTATGGCATCCACAGTGCCACATCCTCCTTCAAGCCTTCCTCAATAACCCGTTCTTTGCTTCTGTTTGTTCTTCTGGTCTCTTTCCTTTCTAGTCCTGACACCAGCGTGCCTTCTGCTTCCCTATTTACAGCTCCCATCCAGCCATCCTCCACTACACTGCATGCTGGTCTGAGAGAGAGCACAAGGACCTCTCCCAGTGCCCTCTGGGTAGAACATTGGAGGTGGAAAGCACACAGAAGGGACCAGCATGGGAAGTCCCACATCTGTTTGCAGCAGATGTTCCTTTTTAACCTCTCATAGATAAACATCAAAGATAAGTGATCTGGTTTAAATACCTATGGAGCGATGTTGTGTTTAGGGCAAAGAGCTGAGAAGAATGATTAAGAGAAACAGATATGGCAACAGAAAGAAGACATACAACATTGTTGGCTGCCTGTGTCAAAACGTCTTCCAATTGTTATCGTTTATGAAGAAGCATCAAAAACCAGTTGGCCAAAACTTCACATATTAAACCACACAGATCTAGTGAAAGAAAAAGAATTTCAGAGATTACTTAAAAATAATGAGTTAACAGTGCAAACACTGAGTTGCTTCATGAGAGTCTCACCATGTGCTTTTCTTTCCCCTACAAGAAATATTGTAAAATCGTCTCCAGTTTTAATACAAACAAAAGATAAATCTTTATGAAGGAAAACAGATGCCACAGCATTCCATACAGATTTCTAAACAGTCCGAGGATTCACAACAGGCATCCATGATGCCACAGTCCATATCACAAGGGCAGTTGCAGTCATCACCCATCTCGTCGCCACAGCAGCAGCAGCAGGCTTCGGAGGAACAGATGCCGCATGAAGCTTGTCCCAGGACAATATTGCAGAGGGTCAGGAATTCACAGAATAAGCAGGCCAGGATACAGTGGACGCAACAGTCTTCATTCACAGTCCAAAAGAAAGCACATAGTGGAGAGAGAAGGGACACAAAATACATATGTCATCCAGAGACTGGGAAAAAAACAAAAATCAAAAAAATAAACAAACAAAAACAACAACAACAAAACACAAACTGGTCCAAGTTACAGATCAAATGGCACACAGCCCTAGGCTTCAGTCATTGATTGTGAGCTAGATGTACAACAAAGAGTTCAAGTTAAATTCTAAATGAGTGACATCTAGATGTAGATAGATATTGGACTGGAAAAGTGAGCTGTGATTGTGTGCATGTGTGCTGGATTATCACTCTGACCCACTGTGTCGTAGCTCTTGATCCCAGGTATCACTTTTCTATGTGTCTTAGCAGTTGTTTCTACAACCTACTGTTCTCAGCAATACTCTGCTGAAATAAATTTCTAAATCAGAAAATGTATTCATGTGTTCCACACACAGGCTTCAAAACTGGAAATAAAAGACATGAAAATATTAGACATATTAATCATTAATCCAATATTTAAACTAGAGTCCATTAAATCATGATTCGCATGTTTTCTTTTCCAATTAACTCACTTTTTTTTTTTTGTTACAAGAACATTTTAAGAGAAACAGTGAGACTTTCTACGTGGGTCCAACTATAATTACCCTTTTTATGTACTTCTAACAAGAGGGATAGTAAATATCAAAAATCACAAAGTGGCTTTACCCCTTCATCTGGTAACAAAGTAGTTTAATCTCTACCATTTCTTGATGCCTTCCTAAATAGCACCATATTTTATGAACTAATAGAAAGAAAAACCAAAAAGTCATATAGTATATTTATTATATATATTGCAAAATGATTTCTTTAAAAAATTGGGACAGATTGAAGAAATAATTGGTGATGATTTCGTGATTCCTTAACACATGTAATAGATCATACAACTAAGATTTGAGACATCTGCCCAAGATCCAGATATTTGTACTTTTTATAGTACACACTTTGGGTTATTTTATGGATTTTTTGTTTATTAGTTTGTTTACACATTTTGTACAATGTGATTTGCACTGCACTGGGGACCAAGTTGGGCAAGTGCTCAACCGCTGAGCTCCACCAAAAACCATGAGTAGAGTTTCAGCAAGTTCTGTGAAAACAAAAGGATACAGTTTGCTAAATGGTTGGCCCTGTTGTAATAGAAAAAAAAAGCACTTCTTGCTCTGCAATGGGGTCATTTTGCAAGTAGCTGTGACCTGACAGAACTATTCCATCACTCGTGTTACAAGTGTTTCTGCTGAGAAAAAGCCAACAGGAACATTTTACTTCCACAAACCTATCATTGGCAATCCAGCACCAGTTTCCCAGACCCTGGAACATGTCAGTTTCTCTACAGTGGAGAATTTGGAGGGCATCTGAAATAAAGGTCGAAACACAAAATCCGTTTCCATGCACTGAATGTCATGAAAGAGATGGGTCAGAACACTCCAAAGGTAAACTCTAGAGGTCTCTGTGGTTGGTACTCACTACTAACAACTCGCCCCTTCCCTTTCACAAGTTTTAAAGGGCCAAGCGCACTCACACACAATGTTCATGAAGAAACTGAAAATAGATTAGAGTTGTGAGAATTTAGATCTTCCCCATCTTCCCATGACATTGATTTTTATTTCGTAGTGTCCAAACATTTCAAAAAACTTTTTTTCTTGTGACAAAAACATGTGAAATGCACTCAATGTGAGTGTTTGGACAATGTGAGTCTGAAGTCCATGGTCTTATAAAGCTCCTAGTATACAGAGCATCTTGGTGGGTTCTTCTGTCAGTTCTTCCTGTACATCTTCATCTCAGTTTCCACTTGATAGTACTTTGTTCATTTGATTTTTTTTCAGGATGATACTATCATCACAATTTGTAAAATATTTGAAAAGTCATAGATAACTACTTATCACTAAGAAAATAGTGCTGATGGGCTGGAGAGATGGCTCAGCCATTAAAGGTTAGGCTCACAACCAAAAATATAAGAAAACAGTGCTGAGGCCTCCATGTACTGGTAAATGCCTATAATTCCATGTCAGGGGAGAATTGTGAGGTGTGGTGAAGGCCATCCTGTGATTCATAGTGAAAAACTGTTTCAAAAATTAACATAGTGTTTAATTGGCAGCATTTCAGGCCTATTCAATGACTCATTGAACAATCACCTACACTGAGCAATTTCAACAACATTTCACTGAGAACTTACTTTTTATTCTATTAGAATGCTTAAATTTCAAAAATGAGAACAGAAATTTATACATTTCACTGAGTATTCCGAATACTAGAAAACTGCTTGGGTATATAGACTCCTTATTTATGAATCATAAATATGTCACATTTAGAATTACTTATGTGTGATAAATCTATCAAATATAAATAGGGAAAGAGTGTTTGTCCCACTGATCATTATATCTAGAGAGTTAAGCCAACGTGGTGGCTTACATGTCTACAATCCTAGTAGTTATTAGACTGAAATAGGCAGATGACAAGGAGTTCCAGGCCAGCATGGGCTACAGGATGAGAACCATCCTCCAATAAAAGTCAAAATGAAACAAAAGAAAACCACTGACCCCTCAAAAAAAATTGAAGGGTTGTAATATCGAGCAGTGTACATTCTATCCGAGTCAACGTCATCCTGCATGAACTCCATTGAGCAGCATGCGTTTCTCAGAGCATTTGAGATTTTTCTACTTTGACTCATATGGCTCATTTTCTTGTTGTTCAGCATCCTAGTCAATGAACACACACCCAACTTACAATTGCAAATCTGAAAATATTTTGTCTGCTCGAGTTAACATGGCTTTTGTAGAAAAGTACATGAAAATTCCTAAGAACACACATACTAATAAGTAGCTGTAGGATACTGGGGTTATGGGATCACATATATTCAATAGTATTGGGAAATGGAATTGGAAATTGTTTCTCCTAAACAATTGCTCTATTGTTTATTCCCACTAACAAAGCAAGAAGAGCTCACCACACTTCCATCAATCATTGAAACTGTCTCATTTTACCATATGACGAGTGGTTGAGTTTGACATAGTTCCCCCAAAGATGTTTATTTTGCTTTTGCTAATAACTAATATGGACTTTTCCATTTATGTTAGCTATTCAGGTTTCTTTTTCATGGGAATGCAGTTTTAGCAGGTTCATGTTGTTCCTCATTTTTGCACTTTATTTTTTCCCTCATTGGCTAGCATCCATGTTTTATACATTCAAACTACAAAGCCCATTGTGAATGGGATTAACCTCTCAATGTATGGCATGGCATGCTTTGATTAAAATAAAGCGACAAAATGGAGAGCTGACCTAATCTGTAGACTTTGAGAGTCTTAGGTGATGAGGGCAAACGCCATTCAAATCACAGACTAGCTGGAGATACAGAGTCACATGGTCAGACAAAGTGAGAAAATAAAGAATGAAAAGACGAATATGAGTCATTACTAAGATTTGATAGAAGAATCAAATGATAAGTTTCAGTGTTTCTACTTTACTAAAGCCCCAATGTGTAGAGGATGCTTTACTTAAAGAAATGAATCTGCCAACCCAAAACCATGGACTTTCGTGTCTACTTATATGAACAAGAGCAAAGTTGTAATGAAAGAACAGCAGGGGGAAGACCTGATAAAGACAGACACCTTAGAAGATGAAGATCTTTACAGAAAAATTACAATTCACTAAGCTCATCATTACCTAAAAGGCATGGTTCCTACACCATTTACTAGGAAGGCATCAGAACTAAGAAAACAAACTAAAACCCAAATATTCCAAGTACTCCGAGGCCTCTAAAACACAAACAAAGCAAGTATACTCACAAGCACCTATGGAAGCCACAGACCAAAACTTGTAATGATTACAGTGATATCAAATAAAATATCTGCACAAGTGTATTCATCTTCCACTTTCCAGAGAAATAAAAGAATGGGAATTCTAGCACATCAACTATATAGTTATATTTATTAATTATCAAAGCAGTTTTTGTTTTTCCAAAATTATGATTCAACATAATGAAAAAGCTCACAGACACTGAGCACAAACAATTGTGTCAGTTTTTATGACTCTAGAGGAGTCGGAGGCCACCCAAGACATTAACATGGTGAGGACTTATGAAGCAAAAATTGGTAGTAAGAGTTATCATTATCATTCAGTGTGGTAGAATATGCCAGAAAGCACTGTGGAGGAAGAGAGATGGGGAGTTCTAGAGCAACCTTCGCTTTAGGACAACAATGCCTCCAAACAACAAACCACCTCAACAACAAAAGAAGAAAATGTCAGGCAAGGTACAAGGTAGTGTATATTATAATGCCAAGGATGGATCATGATGAATCTGAGGCAAGCCTGGGCTACATAGGGAAGCTCTGTCTAAAATAAAAAATTAAAATAAAGAAATCAAGTTCAGGAAGATGAGTAGAGAAACAAAGTTTTAAAATGATGAAGCTTGCCTACAAGTGGTTCACAGTCAAAAAAAAAAAAAAAAAAAAAATCCATTTCCCTGAGTCTTAAGGTTTTTATGGTTTTATTCAGTCATGATTTGCAGTTTTTGCCAAAACTGTTTAACCTTTAAAAAGCCAACTGGGTTCTGGGAAGTTTGCCTATCCTAAACTGGGCCAAGCAAGAATTGTGCAATTCAGTGTACTGAGAAGGGGACCCGGCACAAGACTGACTGACAGCTACTGTAAAGTTAGCAAAAACAAAGGAACACAGCAGCAGCCAAGGCGCGAAGAACAAAGCATAAAAGGAGCTCTTCAGCAGGACTTTGGACTTAAGCAGCACCAGCAAATAAAAAAAAAAAAAAAAAAAACATACTGTTATGAATTACTGCTGTCACGGTCCCAAGCCAATGTCACCACTGGTGAGCCCATGTAGCTGCCCATCTGCAGGGCTTGAGGCCCCACACCACACCACACCTAAGGTAACAATCAAAACCATAAACAGCCCCTTGGCTACTTGGGGAAATAGTCTGTGACTGATCTCCGGAGCTCTGTTTTGTTGAAAATGA